CAGCAGCAGTGTTTATTCTCTTTGTTGGTATTTGACACAACCTGAGGATGTTACTTAAACTGTAGTGCATTTACAGATACGGAATTAAAGCAACGTAGCAATAACCGTGCAGAAAATTAATCCTTTGTCCTCCATTTCTGCAAAGTAATACTTAACACAGCGCAGCAAGCATGGGCAAGCTCTCGTACATTCCCAAGCATAAATTATGGCAGGACAAATGAATTCACCTACTGTTGTGTGTGTTATCAAATGCTGTCATGTCTGCTTTGTATACAGCATGCTGTTTAAATGACTGGACTGAGAGATACACGGGCATTGTTCTGGTGTGAAGATCAACAGAGTGGTTTGTGTGCGAGGTTGTTCTGTCACTTTTTCAGCTTGCTTGTTCAGGGAGGTTCAGTATTGGCTTTCCATATTTACCAAACCACAGGTGTAGCCGACTCTTAAATCTGCTTAGGAGGGTGTTTGTGAGGGTTTTTACTCTAACTTGTTGCCTATGTATATGTATTGTGTCCACACCTCCAGAGTTGTTTTGAATTGTGTAACAACCTTTCTACAATACTATATTTGGATAGATTCCTGTTTTCAGGTGGCGTAATCTCTCCATGCCATGGCTGAGGTTGATGGACCAGTTTGCTTTGAAAAGCTCCAGAGAAGATCTTTGGCCCAGTTGTTTATTGATTTACTCATCAGTCCGTGGCGACGTATGGAAGTCTGTTTTCCTCCTCACCACCTCAGCCACCCTGTCTCTCCCACCCATCCACCCACCACCCGCCTCGCCTCTGCCCGTGCACCTGTCTGTAGCAGGCAGCTGTGGGTGGGCGGGTCTTCGCTGTCAGTGGAACATTCCAGAGGAGAAGTCACCCCGTTAATCCCTTGAGTTTAGACCCGACAGCCCCCCACCCCCTGCTCCAAACCCCCCCACCTCCTTCCCTCCGTCCTTCACTGCCTCCAGTACCCCTCATTGCCTCTCTCCGTCTCTCTCCCACCATTGCCCCTTCCCCTTCCTCGCGGCTCTCCCTCTCAGCCCTGGTCAGGCTCAAATGGGATACTGCTATATCAAAGGTAGACACTGTCAGAATGAGATTAAAGGACGAGTACCCCCCACATGCACACCCAACCTTCAGCTCCCAGGACCAGAGATTTTAATCCCCCCAAATATTCAAGAATGAAAGCAAATATTGTTATGTCCAGATCTGCAGGCTTTTTTTTTGAGGGAAACAGCTACGTGGGCACACAATACATCACTGTCTGCCTCACTATACTACTCTATATACTATACTATACTGAAATCAGTATAATTGACACATTGAATGTGCTACAGTTTCAGAAATTTGCTTTCTATTCTGTGAATCTGTGTCTGTGTGTAATTTGTTAGTGTTTGTAGGCGTGAAGGAGGCCATGCTCACATACACTGCTGTCTCTCTTGTCTACTGGAAATTTCATTCCTCTAATTGCCCATATCACTCTCTTGCTATCACAGTTTTTTTCTCTCCCACTGTCTATTAGCTGTGATTCAAACAAGAGTCTCTTTATCGCCCCGGGAAATTCTGATGTCAGGCCAGATCCTGAACTTGGCAGCCATCCCATTCAGCTGGAACACATAAATGAGAAAAGCTGCAGAATTCACTCTACAAGCGCAGAAGACGACGTTCCCTTCGGTTTTCCCTCGACACCGCAGACACTCTATCTCGACCATAACATTTTATCTTGCTCAGTTGGCTGTTTGGCAGGGATGACTAATGCTGTTTGTGTCCATCTCAGTATAGAAGACTGATAGTACTGTGCAGCAGTCTCGACGACAACACCAGTCATGATGCACTGAGTAGGAAAATATCAGCTCTATGGGCAGAATGTAGAGCACTTGTTCAAGATTTTTGATTAATGCAGACAAAACCATTGATCACACATTATGTTCTTTGCAGAACAGTCCAATTGTGTTTGTTTTAAAGAAGTCATATTATGCTTTTTGCCTTTTTCCCTTTCCTGAATTGTATTATATATCTTTTTTGTACATGTAATAGGTCTGCAAAGTGAAAAAGCCCAAGGCCCACCCCAAAGAGAGTTACCACAGAAAACACCGCTCCTGAACTGCCTGAAAACAGCTCAGTTGTAGTCCAGCCTTTACGTCCGTAACCTATCTGCGTCACTATGTAACAAGTGTCATATCGTTTGCCTAGCAGCTAGTCAGGCACGCCCTCAAAAACACTGGTATAGAAACACACCCCCACCCTCCCTACCAAACGTTAGATACCCTAGAGGCAGGCAATGGACAGAAGTTGTTTCTGTGATGTAGAGACAGTGCACAGTTATAACGTTATGTATTAAAGATAAATTTGTTACAAATTAATAACTTACTACTGTGATACTCTTGCTCCAGTCTAGGTTGCGAAACTAGTTTGGCAACACACCACTCTGCTTCTGATTGGCTATTAGTCCTTAACTAGGTACTGCGCATGTGCAACTCAACAAAGAATAGAAGTGAGATGCTTCACTTGGTTGCTAAAATGGAACGGAAACTATTTCAATATTTTCGGAAATGCAGGTGTTTTTTTTCCAAGAGTTAGATGAAAATATCAATACCACTCTGATGTCTGTGTGATAAATATGACAGCCAGCAGCCAGTTAGCTAAGCTTATTGTAAAGACTGAAAACATGGGAAAACTGGCTTTGTCCATAGCTAACAAAATCAGGATTCCAGCACCTTTGAAGCTAACTAAATATTTTTATCCTGTTAAATTTGCACAAAACTGTAAAAAAGGACAAAAGGTTTTGGTTAATGCTGGGCTTATGTGTGGTTTTGTGTTTTATGCATCTGTTTGTACAGATTAAAGAAGATATATCATGTTAATTAGTAAACTGGATAGGTGGATATTGTTAGCTTTGGAATATAACCAGGCTAGATGTTTCCCCGTTTCCAATCTGGCAGCTGGCTGTAGCATTATATTTATCGTACATACACGTAAGTAGTATCAATCTTTTCATCTAACTCTTGACAAGAAAGCAAATATGCATATTTCCCAAAACATCAAACTATTGCTCTCCCATAACAAAAAAATAATTCTGAGTGGAGTTCGAGTTTATGAAAGGGCTCCTTGTGTGAGTGTGCCTAGTCCCATACAACACTTAACACCACTTGTTTTTCTTTTGCACCCCATCTATTAAAAAGTCACACCTCCTCTAGCAATTAATTTTCTTGAGTGGAATGACTGGCAGTGTCCTGCAGCGCTGGCTGGACTGCTGGGGTGTTTGGGCCACACCAGGGGAAGCAGTAAGAGAGTGTCCCAGGGTGCAGGCTGTCCTCACACTGTTTATCCACAGACCAGAGCCCCTCTGAGGGCCAGGGGGAAGACGCGGCTGGGCCAGAGGCTATTAAAGCCCTGATGGCTTTTGACAGTAATTTCTTCATGAGTCCACAGCCCGCGGGGCCTGCCAGTGGTGAGATCGGGTGCCTCCTCTTGCCCATTAAAGCACACAAACTGTGCCCACAAATCCCGCTCAATGGTATCTCTGTACTCAGGGAGTGTGTTTGTGCATGTGTGAGTGAGAGAAGTGAGGGAGCAGGACTGAGGAGCAGAAGATGGAGAGGCCTCGCCAATCGTCCTGGTAACCATGCCAAAATGGATGGATGCATTTCTTCAACCACTCCATCAGTTCAGGCAAGAGTCCAAGCCATCAGGGGAACATATTCGGAAAACCATGCCTTGACATCCAGCCAAATCGTAAAAGGTGTTTACGTGCATCTCAGCCCAGGGGAATAGAAATCACACATGACAAGGCTTTAGCATTGTGTTGGGTGGAGATTGGAGCTTCAGCAGCAATCGAGGGATTGGCTAGAGGCTTAGGTGAGTTTGGTAGATGAGGAGAGGAGCAGTAAGGTGTAGCTTCTGCGTTGCTACACCTGTAAGCGGCATTGCCACATTAACAGATTACATGGCTGTTTGGGAAAAGCAAATGTTGTTCTGGGCATGGTGCTACTTTCAGGGGGATTTAAGCAAGGAACATGGTTGGAAATTAGGGACGTTGCAAAAAGATGGAGCTTTGGAGTTTATAATTAGAAGACTGTGTTTTAGCAAGTAAATAAGGAACACTAAATGGCTTTAAATGCATAGAAAGGCTAGGTTAGCAGTATTCTTATAAACTGGGTTTTTCTGGGGAATAAACATGTGTAAATCCCTGCTGCATAGGACGTCACACTTAACTTTTCCTTTGCTGTGGACAGAGAAAGTGCTTAAGAAGGCCATAGGTTATCCATCTCTAATCCACCATCTTAGAGCTGTGTTCCCCTGGGGTGTTAAAACCAGACCATTGGGCTGGATTATATCACGGAAAGGAGGCCGATGTGTTAATCATAAATTAGAAGCTAAGCCTGAGTAAGCAGGTCAGTCTGAGGTCAGTCGCTCAGCCCTATAGGGGACTTTCTGTGTGAAAAACCACGGCTTACCACTTAGTAGCCCCAATATAATCAGCCAGGAACAATGTACAGTAGTGTAATGTGTCAAGTTTGCCCTGAGTCGAATGTTGTTCTTTAAGAATGAATCCATTCATACCTTACTGACTGTTCAAGTGTACATTTACTGTATACATGTAAGTATACCTTATGCAAATACACATGTTCACACCCTTTTAATGGGCCCTCATGCTACACACAGCCGAGATTGGTCCATTTATCTGTCTTCAGCCTACGTCGGAAATCTGTGACGAGAACAGAAATAAGTACCATCCGTTTTTCCAATTCCAAAATGTTGCCTTAGGGAAATTGGCAAGCTGTCTGAAAATGGGATGATACACAACCGTTGCTATGTATGACTAATACTTGGCTCCTAAAGACTGTGTCAACAAGGTGTTTTATTGAAGACACAAAACGAGTGACAATTCAAGATTTATATAACGAGAAGGAAAATATAGAAGACTAATTGGATTAGAGAGAAACAAAAAGGAATTTGCTGATCCAATTAATCTTCTTTGACACATTAAGACTGGCAGACCCACAGAGAACAACAAGTATAAAAGAGTTCTTTATTTCTAATAAACATGAATACATGTGAACATGTAGGATGTTTTTATGATGTATGTTTAAAACATTCTTGCAAACTGCTGTACAAAGCCTAGGAAGACATGCTATAGGTCAGTACATGAAAGATTGTATGGTCTAAGTTATTGTAGCCAAGTGTAGCAAACCATCCATATATCCGCTTTAACATCATCAACGTGAGAGGAAAAGTACACAGGAGAAGGGGCACAAAATGCAATATCAAACATGAAAACTTGTACAACTCTGAAAAGTTTGCTTTTTGACACAAAGGACACATACATTGTATGTGTTAAATAATGTTTGTCAGGACACAAAAAGCTAACTACATCATTCACAGATTCAGCAGTCTGTTTAAATACCATATTTCTACAAAGTGAATTTACATTTTTTTTTTTAAAGTACAAAGTGCAAATACTATGGTTTCCATTATTGCCGATTCGTGAGGGCAGATTCTCCATGCGGGAGGGGAAATCTCAGCTGCTGGCTTAGCCTTGCTTCCTCGAGGGATTCTGAGGAGAGGAAATTAAAGTGATATGAGTTTGACATATACCTTTGGTTCTTTGCACTTAGTCTGACAACTTGTTCAATGACTATATATTCCTACCTCAGTCAACACAGATAAAATAATATTACAGTCAGACTTTAGATGAGCCACCAGTTCTCTTACAGCCATTTTATTCACTAGTGTGGAGGGAGTAGTTTACTTACTAGTTTACTGGAAGGTAAGCCTTCTCCTGGTTTGGCCCCTGAGAGACAAAAAGTCATATAAACCTTAAGAGGCACAATGTGTAAGAGGCTACGCTCCACCTGTTGAATTCATGCTCCCAAAAAAATAGAGCGCAGCATATCACATATCAGGTCAAAACTACCGTCAGCTAGTTAGCTCAGTTTTTCGTGCAGCTAACTTAGTGGCCCTAGTAGCTGAATGAGTCTGGAATGAACACCAAAACAGGATCCTGGACGAGCAGGCTATGGAACCGGTTTCAGCAGCTTCCCAGTGAACTGAACACAGCCTTTAAGACCAAGGGAGACCAGTTTGACAACAGGGAATACAGTACTGAGGTGATTTACAAAGGCTCTGACTCTGGGGACAACGAAGACATGGCAGGTCAAGGCAGGAACAGGAGAGGCATCAAGTAGGAGAGGAGCGAGAGGGAGGTCAGGCATCAGAGATGCTGTGACAGCTTGTGGAATATTTTCACATCTATCTCTCTATCTCTGAATTAAGGGTTTGTTTTGACCAAATCAGAGATGGCGATTGTTGGAACAGTGAGAAAGACTAACCAAGACAGTTTTAGTGAGTTTTATTTTGTTTCTTTTTTTTTGTATTTTGAGTTTGAATGAAGTTTATTTTATGGTGAGTAGACAAGGCAATTAGTTCCGTGAAAGACAGAAACTTGAATACTATTTATTAGACTAAAAGAGCACTTTTAGTCTAAAAATAAAGACTTTGAGAACTCGCCGCTCACACACATCTCCCAGATGAATCTGTTATGCCAGCTGAAGTATTGTATTAGCTGTAGTTAGCTAGCTACTTACTGATAGCTTTATCCGCTGGTTAAAAACTCTTTTATCCAGTGTTTCCGACTGACTTGTATGGAAATGATAAACCTATAAAGTAATCCAGTGCTGGAATGATGCACAAACGAAAGGCTACTGTTACATTACTTATGCTTTGCTCTTATATTTATGATTCTGAAACGGTGATACAAAAGACTCCCTCCAAATTTTTGTCAGGCTTACTACAGCTCCATCTGCAACGTTTCTGTATGTGGACAAATTCAAAGCTTGACTGTGTCTAGTTACGGTTATTATTGCTATTCTTAGGACAATTTCTGTTTAGAGGGAGGGGGTTAGCAAAGAGTACATTTTTAAAAATCCTGTAGCACTATTCTATTTTACCCTCTGACTGCCATGCTTATCATGTTTTATCTATCAATATCTAAGTTTGAAGACAGGAGCAGGAGCAGTTTATTTTGGTGCAGGAGATTACGTTTAGACATTAGGCTGTGTTGTTCAGCTCACCCTCTTCTTTGGTCACCCCGAGGCAACCCATCAGCTCCTGCAGAGACAGCGCCTTGTCATTGCTGATGTCGCAGTACTCCACAAACTTCTTCACACACTTCTTTGGCTTGGATTTCTTGCGCAGGAAGCGTTTGAAGGGCTTGATCTCCTTTTTTCCAATGTCCCCACTGGAGTTTTTGTCCAGCTGACTGAAATACCAGTGGACCACCCTCTCCTCCAGGGTGTGGCTGGGGTCAGGCTCGGCCATACTAAATCACAGATATCAATTCATCAGTTCATCAGTTCATCAGCTAACAATCGCTCCTCCATCACTTCATTCAGCTTTCTGTCTATAGCACCAAATACTTTTGTGCCTTTCAAGTAAATGACTGAACCCACTGATGGTCATCAATGAGCGTAAGTTGGACAAATCCACTTGCGAATATCATACCTTCTGACAGATGCTGGATCTGTGACAGCGTGCACCATGTCTGTCGACAGCGCGTCAAGAACACTTGTCAGGAATTCTGTTTTCTTTGCCCCAGGACAGCCTGGAAAATAAACCACAGACACATGACTGAGTGTGTTTGCGAGTATGCCTTATGCACTTCATATGGAAGTAAGTGTATATAAATGAGTAAACACAGAAATATGTTACAGCATTACAACAATGTAGAATGCTGCCGTCATAGGTGGCCTAATAAATGTTTTGGGAGGGACGCCATGTAACAAGAAGCGTAATTTTAACATGAACAGCACATAAAGACGGCAGAGGAGAAAATAAACCTAAACAACACTCTCACAGTTGGCGTTTACTCCCTCTCATTAAGTGTCAGACCTCCCCTCATCTGGAGAAGGAAGAGGGTACCTGCCAATCATCCTGGAGGCCCCTGAGTGGTTTTGACAGCTGGAGCACAGAAGATGTTACTGAACATTGTATATATGGACAAGAGGCTCCATACAGCACCTGAGACTCACCTGATACATCAAGGAAACCAGAAACAGTCCTGACAGACACATTGTCACTTGTCTGAAGTTTGTCTGAGGGACGTCTGACTTAAAGGTATGCATCAAGAGACCAACACAACTCAACACCTGATCTTCAGTGTGTGGTGGGATTACTATTTGAAATGTCAGCTAGAGAAGACGCTGATATAATTAGCCCATAAACCTATTGGTAAAATCTATCATTAACTACCCAACTAAAACCAACAGAGAAGCCTTATTACATGCACAATGACAGGAAAGAATTGAGCGACAACTGGGGTGGAATGATTCTAATGATAGTAATTGTCTGTTAAGCCATATAGTTTTAAGAGTGTGGAGGCCAAGGTTGTTCTGGAAGAGCTGAAGGCTACAGCGGCCTGAGAGATTCCTGGATTCCTCTCCAGGCTCTCCTCAGCTTTCTCACAGTCTGACTTCCTTCTGCTATTCTGCCTGTGGAGAATAAGAAATTCTCCGCAGTTTTCTGCTCTTTTTATGGCCCAGGCCTGCGGGGCCAGATTCTCCTGTGTTGGAGATAATAGCATGCTTTGCCCCTCTCTAACAGGTGGCGACCAGCATCGGCATAAACATCCAGCCTTCACTCCACCTTTCCCAAGTAGCGCAGGGCTTTAGCAGCCTGCACAGAGCGGAGGGTTGAAACATTCACATGTCCAAACTGTTCCAAAGTCTTCTTTACGTGTTGAACAGACTTGCACTTAAGTTTTAGCAGGCCCTCCCTGGCCTTAGCCCAGTAAAATATCTGACCCACCTGTTAATGGCCAAACTGGTGCCTTGTGGAGCCTCTTGTGGTAAATTAGTCTAGACAGTCACACAATTACACCCACAGAAGGCAATGTGTTTTTATCTGGCTTCTGACTAAAGAGAGATCTGTGGGATGCAGTTGGACTTGTTTGAGGTTTAGTGTGTTTCATGGAGAGAATGTGCCCTCTCTGTAATGCTTCAGGAATCTGAGCGTGTCTGCAGTTCATTCAAATGGGAAGACATCAGGTATGGCACCAGTCCCTTCCTCTTGGCAGCAAAGGGTTTTCTTGTGACCACGGGACAGATCTGCTTCTGTCTGTCTAGACACAGTTTAGCTGAGGGGCAAGACACAAATGTTCCTGCTGTCATTCAAAGGAAACTGAGTCTGGACATTTTCCGTTCAGTTCAAGGCTACAGAAGCAAACGGCTGCTGTCTTATTCCATAATGATAATAATTATGTAATACCCAAGTTTGACAGATGCAGGATGGAATCAAGTTGAGAGAGCCTCAAATGATATTTTTTCTTGCTGAAAAGCTAAGATCTGTACCACTGTACATATATCTGCTGGCTGTAAAAAGTTGGCCAGTAAATGCATGTTTGCATGTGTGTGCCCGTGTGTTACTGTCAATAAGAAACAGTGTTTTCCTATGGAGCCACATGGGGCAGAGCCCTGTCAGCACTCATAGCCGCAGCTCCCGATGGCTGCCGCAATGCTATCCCATGATCCCGCTCGGGGGAGAAGGCTAGCCAAATACTCAGCTTTCCTCTCCTGCCTCTTTCAGGGCAAAGTTCTCCTTTCTCGCATGTCGCCCCATAAACCTCTCAACACCAGCGCTTCAACAGAAAATGGGCTGCAGCAATGTGAAGGCAACATTTATAATTATAATCATCCCCGGATCATACAGTGACATGGTTTACAGCCATTGACCCAATTGGTCATAAAGAAAACAAGATGCTGTGTTTTTTGACTGTGTCCTGGTCTGTTTTATAATTGGAGACTTGGCTGATACGGTGCAGTTTTTTTGACAGGTTTAGAATGAAGTCTGTGTACTTGTGCAAGTGTAGGTGTGTTAGGTGATTGCATGGCTGAATAAGTACATTGTTTTCTGTTCTACCACTACGTGTTTAGGAGGTGTTTGGTTGGGATAGTTGAGGCAGTTTTCCACCTTATTGCCACCTTACACTTTCTGCTGACAGTTACACACTGTAATTATTCCTGCTCAATATCATAGCAATAATATACACTACCAGTGCCACTGGAAAGCAAAGATGAGTAACATTCGTTGGTCTAAGGAGCATTCATCTGTGACTGTCTATCCTCACTGTTTTATACACACACTGTACAAAAGTCCTCAATGCCGGAGCAGAGACAGAGTGCTGCTCTGCTACTGCTAAATGCAGCACCTGCGAGCAGAGAGCAGCTCTGGCCCGGCGTTCTGTTACATAAACAGCAGTGGATGGGACGGGAACAGTGGCAGCCCTGTTCATATGCTGCTTGGATTATTAACATGTTTACCAACCCACCAAAAAACAGCTAATTTGCCAAACACCGTTCAGCTTTGAACTAAATTTGGTTGTATGCACCTGAAAGCTATAACTCTGCTTTGTCTATCATTGGTTTTATGATGAGGACAAGCCATGCAAGTACTGTTAAAACTAAAACTAAGTGGTCATTTAAACAGTTTTAACCATAATTTTCATTTTCACATTTAACTTAAAATAAGTGCTTTAGATAACTGCATTAAGCTAGATCTGTTCAAAATTGGTTTAATCATTCATGTTTGCGATGCCATTTGACCCTGTATCTCAGAAATTAGATCAGTAGGTGGAATGGTAGCCATTAAACAAAAAAAGGAAAAGGAAAAAAAAAGAAAGAAATTTCCTTGATGATTACAAATTGAATGTTGTTTTATGTAATTTGCTGAAGTGAAAGCAGCCCTTTATTTGCACTATTATTATATAAATCTGCCTAAAAAAATGTGGCACAAGATCATTTTATCCATCTTCAGTTCAATCCATTTGTAAATACTTCTCAAATATATCAACGTTTTAATTCTGCAGTTTGGTGGCGTCAAACACCCACCTTACACAGCTAACACAGCCTCACCTGTAACTAAGCCAACCCCATGACCACCACCCCCAAACTCCTCTCCTGCCCTCAATTTACTTATCAACAGTGTTGTCAGCCTTCTTATCACTACCTGTCCAATTATCCATTATCTCCACCTCTCCTGCCCGCTGTTTATCCCCCGTGCTATCATCCCACTATCCTCCATCTCCAGTGTCAGTTGATGATTAATCCTTACCCCGATCCGTCTCTGTCTCCTTGCTTATTGACCAGCGAGGGGCAGTATCTGGCAATCCTCAACTCTTTATCAAGCATTTCCTTGACCAACAGTGCTAATGATGTCAACAAACACACACACACACACACTCACACATACAAACTCGCCCTGTTATCACAACCTTGGAAGCTCGCAGCAGTTGGAGGCCGACTGCTGAAGAACTTCACCATGTGGTCTGAGCAGAGAGGAAAAACAGAAACAGAGTCCAGACTTTAGAGACCTACCTTGGAGATGTCTGCTTCTATAATGGTCCTTGGGTTTAGTTGGATGGGCCCTGGCGTTGCCATCGCACTTTGGCTGTTCATACCTGTGACAGAGAATATACCATGTGAGAAAATGCCAAGTCATTCGAAGTGAAATGGGTGAAAGGGATTGTTTATAACAGCGCAACTACCCTCACTATAAAATCAGAGAGGAATCCCATGTTTTCCAATCACCCCCGTACAGCAAAATCTCAGGGATTCAAATAATTGTTTTGTGGCGAACCAGAGACTGTGAAACACATCCAAAACGAGGGGAGGGGCTGGTATGAGGACAAAAAGAGGGAGGGAGGGTGAGAGATAGAGGGAGAGAGGCAGACAGGGAGCGTGGGACACAAGGAAGCTTTCACGGCCTCCCTTGGAGAGCCAGCAGAGCCCCGATTGCTGCTGTGCGGCTGGGCCAAAAGCTGGCCTGGGACAAGGAGCGAGAAGGGGGAAAATCCAGGCTTCCATATGTGTGCTAATGTGCTGTCTGGCACTCTGCCTGAAGCCTTGTTAATCTGATACCCAGCCTCGCTGCTCAACAAGTGTGTACCAGTGCCCCACTCTGCCAGCCTCTCTGACCTCTGACCTGCTGCTCACCAGACCACTGAGTCACTGTTTCATCTGCAATGGAGATGTCTGTCTGTCTGCTTGTGTCAGACTTATGTGCATTTTCTGAGTCTCAAATGAAGAAGCTTCTTTTTGTTGTCTGAAAGCTGCTTTATTTCTAACAATTTATTCCAAGAAGAGAATGTCCTATAAAGTTTGCAGGGTTGCAGACCCTCAGATGCTGAGCCACTTTTCTGTGTTAGGGTGGCTGTGATCACTTAGCTGCTTTGTGTTACAACTGCCTGGTTTGCTTACCACAAAGGCACCGAGCAATAGGTTCCAAGAGTCTTTATAAAGCCACCAAATGGCCATATAACATGTGAGTTTTGCATAGGTGAAGTCTCTCCCACCTGGTGGAGGTCCCAGGTATGGGCCGTCCGGTGTCCACCAGCACACACCAGCAGTAGCCGGTGTAGGGGTGGCATTGGACGGGCTTGTACAGTCCTCCTTGGGCACAGTCTGGTACAAAAACAGCATCGTTCTTGTGTTGCCTCGCTTCTTCCTGGGCAGACTGCTGCTCCTGGTCACATGATGAGGCTGGACAGAAGGGTCAGAGGTTATACAGGAATCAGCGGAAGCGTCAGTAGATTGGTCATGCACACATCTACAGATACACACACACATCGTCGGTAAACTCAGCAGTCACTTAGGTTGTGTGACTTGTGTGACCCCAGACAGACACTTGATGAGAAGAAGAGCGTTTGTTTAAAGTTAAGAATAAGAGTCACTCCTTCCCAGATCTAGCTAACACATTTTGGATTTATACAACATACAGAATGTTTGAATCAATTTCTTTGGCATTACACTCAGTGCATAAGACATCCCTGAAGAGGAGGAGGAGGTTGGAGCATTGGAGAAGACAAAAGGGTGTAGGATGAGTGCTCGGAGACAGTGTGTGTAGACTGCTATATCAGCCCCCCGTAGCACTGTTTACGGACATTAACGGGCTAATGACTAAGTACAGCTCCCTATGCCCTAAGTTAAGTAAATATTTGGACACTCAACTGCCCTCTGTGGATGTGTGTGACAGAGAGAGAAACAGGCAAGACAAAAGCAGAACAGCGGTCAGTCGGACCTTCAACTTCATACACCCACACACTGACACACTACTGCAGGGTACTGTAAAGTACTAGGGATCTATATGTTTACATGTTCAAAATTCACAGGGAAAAATGCAGCGCCTGGTCCTTTCTTTTATCCGTACGTGCAGAGGATGCAGCTGCCTCAACTGGGAGAAAGATGGTGTTTTGCAGAGCCTCAGCAGGATCTAATCAGACTTTATTTTCCTGTGTACTTGCCTCATCTCTGCCGTGCGGCTCTCCAACAGAGATTTGAGCATTAAAGTCAGGGATGAAAGTAGAGCTCTTCTGGCCATGAGGGCTTTCATCACCAATCTCTCCCTCTCTTCGCTGCTCGCCTCAAGGCTCGGAAGCTACTGCGGGATTATGCATATCCCTTTTCTTTGTTTATTTTCATTAGACATCTTTACCCACACAAAAGAAACCAAATGAAATGCCTCCCCGCTTTCTCAACCGACTCTCTTCGCTCCAGTTCCTCCGTATGGGCTCTCTTTGTTGGGACGGGTGTTTTTTTTTCACCCCAATACCCCAAAGAGCACATGGTAATCAAAACCATCAATGCTGCATTTCTCAGGCTCTTTTATTGGTTGTAAATTATGATAATGGGATTCACACACAAATGCACACACGCACACAGAGTTCTCATCTTGAGGCTGGCCTCAAAATAGCATTGTTTTATGCAAAAAGCAACATATTTCCCCAAAGAGCAAAGAGGCAACTGATTTGTACAATAAGATAAATGTGCATGTGTGTAAGAGAAGAGTCGAATGGGCCAGCCAAAAGAATAGGAGATCCTGTGTTTGTGCCATGTGCTGATAATTACAGATACGCTCCAATGCGAAGAACCACAGAGAAGCAGATCCTCAAAGCCTGACACACTCCAACACCAAGATGTATTGGTTTCACAACCCACCAGCTGTCCTTAAAAGACAGGAACAGCCTAAAACCACGATTGCTCACACAAGCAGGAAAAAGAGCATGCTTTCAGTTGAGGTTTGCAAACACCCGAGCGCCGTCATTAAAGAAAAAGTGGTCTTTGAAACTCACATGGTGATCTGGTTCTATTGTTCTGTCGGCTGCGAACCTGCTCCGTCCACAGAGTGGGGTACCGGGTAATCATGTCTGAAAGAAATCACCAAGACAGCTTTATTAGCTTCAATCGAAAACACACTCGTATATCATCTGAGCCAAACCTGGTGGTTCCAAAAATCACAGACTGTAAAATGCACATCAAGGTTATCGTATCTCAAACTGCTGCAGTGGAGGTGGAAAGTGAATTGCATATGACAGCTGTGACCAGAAATATAGCAGCGAAAAGAGAGGTGGGTAAAATATGACTATGAGTCTCCCCCACATTAACATGAAAACATACACTGCTTCCTTTAAAATATGAAAGGCTGATAAAAGTGCTCAAATGCAGCTTTGCTGAATGTGATCGTCTGCTTCTCATTCACAGTGATGGATTATCTTTATTGAACTTGAAATGTAGGAAGGTGTTTTCTCTGCCATTTGGAGTGAATGTAGCCTTGGGGACAATAAAGTCTAAAATCTGTATCACAATATACAAATACTCAATTACAAGTTAAAATTCTGTATTCAGAATTCATGCCACAGATATGTTGGCAGTAATACAAGATTAAAGTATCAAAAGTAAAAGTACTCTTTAGGCAGATTTACCCCTTTCAGAAGTCTATATAACTATATATAATATTTTTGGATCATCATTTGTTATGCAACAACATGTAAGAATGTTGACGTAGCAGCTGGCCAAGGAGCTGGTGTTCACTACTTTAAATCGTGTTGGGTATTTTTATTTATCAATGCATCATATTTTTAAGATAATGATATATTTTATGTGAAACATTTTAATATGTATGAAAGCTGGTGGAGTAAAAGGTACAATATTCTGCCTCCGAAATTTAGTGGAGTAGGAGTATAAATTAGCATAAGAAAGAATACCTTAAGGATAATACAAATACCTCAAAATTGTTCTTATGTATATTAAGCTATGTGATTAAATATACTGTTCTTTTGAAAGAACAACACGTTATTCTTCTTCAAATGACAAGTTAAATTCTTAAGCAATAAAACACATGACCCTTCTCTACTTGTTCTACTGTTACACTATATTTTAGCATTTACTAGTATCCTGTAATTGCCACGGTGACCGCTCTTCAACAAATCACATAGTCTCCCTTTAAACATCAAATGTATGGGGGGGGGGGGGGGAATCAAAAACACAACTTCCTTTTAGTTTGCCCTTACATTCACATCAAATCTTGTACATAATATTTTCCCCAATGATCTGTTTGCAGAATGATGCTGTTACTGCCTCATGTGCAGGCTCCTTTTCCCTTTTAAGGATGTTATCCTTTTGAGTCAGTCAGTCAGTGGTGTCTCAGTAAACACAGGCGCAGTATCAAACATTTTTCTACTCACAATCCGATGGATAAGAGCTCACCTTCTTCATCGGTAGCGGGCTGTGGATCCACCACTAGGCCAGTCTCATCTGCATTTAGAATGGAGAATATTTGCAAGGAGACTACAATTACGAGAGTGAGCTTGATTAGAGAAAACTTAACTACGTGAGATTTGCACTTTGCCCGGCCGAGATGGATGGAGGCAGAAGTAGAGAGTCAAGGAGAAAGAGAGAGGGGTGTTTGTGTGTGTGTTGAAAGCTGAGAGAGGTGACTCATAATCTTATGGTAAAGAGAAGAGAGGAGGAAAATTAGAAGTATAGTGGTCATATATTCCCATGGCTTCACTTCATGCAACAAGGGAGATCATTATGACATGGAGGACAGATTTTGGTCAGTTAAAATGAATGAGGAGAGGACCAGTTGCCCCTGATGTTCTTCTCCATCTTTCCATTGCCTGCATTTGAGTTGCGAGAGCTGTGTGAAGGTGGGAGAGACACAAGAGGTGAAGAATGCAGTATACAAGTCGGAGAAGAAGCAATTAACAGTGAGAGAATGGAGCTCAGTGTTTTTTTGGTCTCTGTTTGTTTGTTTGACTTGCGGTGGGAGGGAGACGGGGATGGAGGTTTTCAGCCGCTTAGAGTGAAACCACGGCCGTAGGTGTGGTTAACCTCAGCGCGGGTCACTCTTTCTGCTCAAAGTAAAGCTCTGTTAATGAAGGAATTAGGGCATATCTACAGGGCGGCTCCACAAACAGGGATTAAGCTGGGACTTCTTCTCTTTAACAATGAAGTCTCCATTGCAAAATCAGGAATTTACATTAAATGCAAGTTTGTTATGCCAGCCATTCATCTTTTTGAGCATGCTTGGTGGATAAAAATATATACAGTTGGTGTGACTGAGGCAGACATGTTATTACTCTGCTCACTTAACGGATGGAAATGCCATTTCAAAAAGTGTATTTATGATTCGGATTTACGACAAACCACTAATGACCTATCTTTACTTTGTGGCCTTTTACATGACTGTAACACCTCTTTTAGCATCTGCCAGGAAACCCCCGCGCTATTTGTGGTCATACGGCATTAGTTTAACTGCTGTTTGTCAGTCGTCAGCTGCATGTGATTCCAGCATGTGAGTGAATTGAAAGTGAATGGAAGTCAAGCAGCAGAAATAGGTTTATGGTAAAGCATTTGGTGTTTAACATTACCAATATTCTGGTAATAAAAGTGCAGCAATGGCTGCTGTGGAATGCTTAGGCACTGATTTGCTTCTGCTGAATCCAAATATTGATGCAATCACTGCTATTTTCAGTGCTGGCACACCACAAATCTACAGTTTATTCTGCTTTTCACCACCCTGTTTATCCAACCAGTTCAGATTGAACCACAACCCCCACCCCCCATCCTCCTCCCTCTTTCCCTCTCCCACCATCCCTCCTCCTTTTCTCAAATTTTGCATTCCCACTTGATCTATGTGTAATGAGTTGGCCGGGCTCAGACACTATACCCAAGACTGTTTATAGAGAGAGAGGAGCAGACGTAAATGTCAAATTAACAGGAATAACCCATATGACAAACACAAGTGGATGCATACGGACTTTCTCTCTCTCTCACACTCATACACACATCCATGCATGCAAACACATACACAATCACATAAGGAATCGATCGGAGTCAACCCAAATTACACTTTTTCTTTGTGAGCCTTTAAATCACATCAGTTAAACAAATCATCTCTTACAAGATGACAGCCAGATATACAGTATCTGGAGTGGAGCCGGAGGGAAAACTTAGTGGTTCTTTATCTGGAAGGGGGTAGATGTTGATGAGAGTGACAATAGAGTGGAGAATAAAGTGTGAACATTTCCTTGTATCTTATGACACTGTTGCTGAAAAAGAACCAAGAACAAGCAAGATCAAGTTAGAGAAGATGTGATAAGTTAGTTTTCCTCCATTCTAGCTGCTCCTTGGCCATTTGGATGCCTGGTAAAGACAGCAGGCGGTTAAAGGCTCTGTAGCTGCTGGCGGTGTGCATTAAAGCTCACCACAGCCTCTCTTCTTAGACCTGTTACTCAGTAACAGACTGCTTTTATATCAGCCTTCAGGCTGCTCTCAAATTGACAAAATATTAGCAAGGCAAGCCTTAACAGGCGACCCACCCTGCACATCTCCAACACAGATGCAGGCAAACAGACAGAGATACAAATACTTAAGTACACACGTACATGCATGCTTAGATAGGTACATACATGCACATGGCGAAACACAAAAGTACGCATGCACATATAAAGGAGCCAATGTGCCTCTGAGAATAAATTTTTCTTCAATTAAAGTCTCACCTGCTTTACCTGGTTCTCTTGTAGTAGCTCTCTCTTGTTTTGAACCTAAAATGCAACAGGTTCAAATTAATTGAAAAAATTCACTACCACACACCTTTTTCACGGTATACTCAATAATTGAAAAATAAAAACTCTTTTGTGGCACAGGAACAGCCACCAGACTTAAGTAAGGAGTGAATCACAGTGGAAAATGCTTTTCTGACTGTTTATTTTCAAGGAGGTTTTATTTTATGACATTTTTAGCCTTCACAGCAATGATCAAAGTACAGCTGGGATTTACAATAAAACTACTGCTACTATGTCTGGAGCTTTGTCACTATTGAGATAACAGGGCAACTTCCGAGGCAGCCCCACGGAGACGCACAGGGAGGACATGTGGCATTGGTTATTTGATTGTTTGGCAGACGCCATCCTCCAAGAACACTTACATTCCTTACAGTTTAACTTTGTTGCTCAACTCTGCAGCAGGGATTTTCTACTAGGCTTATTTATACCGCAGCCCCATGCCTTGAGCAACGCTCAGTCCTCGGGTGGCCCTCAAACCCTGTGGCCGTCAGTCCAGTCACTGACCACTTTCCCACAGGACTGAAGATTATACCCTCCACAAACATGGAATGTCATGCTTTTCTGTGTTAAATTCGATTTATCATCATTGCTTCACAAAATTACAGAAACCGCATTCTAGGAATCAGCCATTTTAAATTTTATACTTCAGGCTTATTACAAAATGAAATGCCTATACTAATGCACTGAACTATAAACACAGTATGCATACCTGCGCATATTATAAGACAGATTTCTGGGGCATTACCCACCTTGGCATCGAGGTTTCTTATTGGCCACTGCTGAGCCACTGATGGGTCGGCCATTGGGGGTGACACACCAACAGTATCCAGTGTAGCTGTGGCACTGAACCTGTAATCATAACAGCATGTAAACACAAAGTCAGCACAAGCTAAACCAGGATCTGTAAGAATTAAATGTGAATTCCTGCAGGAGAAAATGAGCAATGAGCAATTCCTGCAAAAAGTGGACTCTTGGTGCCGAAGAGTTTTCTACTGTCGCCTCCATAGTCTAGTGCCTTGCCTTATATGCAAAACAAGTGTCATTCTTGCTGTGTTATTTGTTACCTCGCTGTACGTGCCATCGGGGTTGCATACAGGCACAAAGACCTGCGGGTAGAGCTTCTTGGCCTGCTGCTCTGTGTACTTCTTCTCTGCTACACATCTGGATATATCTGAGGAGCACCACAAATCACCAGAATCACTACACATCACAGAGACTCATGATTCATCCCACAGCTCAACTGTTTTCTTATGCTGCACAACTATGAAACCAACATACTTAAAAGTCAGTAAAAGATGTTGAATATCCCAGATGATAAAAAAATGAAAGAAAAATGCAGGGAGAGAGGAGAGACGGAGGGGAAACAATTCAAGACATTTCGGAAGTGGTAGATACTTGTGTGGCTGGGAATAGAACCAACACCCCCAGTCTTATTAGGAGCAAGTCAGGCAAGCCTGCACATTGCCTGGTGGTAAAGCCATTACTGAGCGAGGCAGCTCGTTCTACTCCTGTAGAACATTCCAGTCACCCAAGAAAAGGGCTGATGCACAGGGAAAACCTGACCCTTCCTTAATGTCTCTGAGTCTGTCTCACTTTCCTCCTAAACCTCGACCGTCTCCTCAGTTCAGCCCAAACTGTCCTAAGTATTACTGAAATAAATGTGGGTCAGCAACTTTTCACCTTTGGGCACCTCAAGTCTTTTCACATCCCTCTGTCAGAGCCATGGCTCATCCTGTCATTCCACAGCTGCTTCACCTCACCTGGCCAACAGCACCAGCTGTGCAAACTCTCAGGAAATGTTGGGCAGAGATGGGTTTGATGGTATCTTGGTGTGACACATTAGCTGCCATGCAGTGCCTATCTGGCTGGCAGGTTCAAATCACATTAAAAGAATGACTCATGCTAGGTTTAGAAACGTTGACCAGTTTGGTCAGGAGGCTGCATGTCGCTGGCATGGCTTACAGTAGACACATGCAGGGGCATGTGCACTGGTTTCTCTCACTCTAGTGTGTGTGTGCGTGTGTCACTGTCACTGGCGAGGAGAGGGGGCAAGACGTTGGATGATCCGGATGGAGGAAAACAGCAAGTCGAGGAGCTCTAAAGTTAGCTCCAGTGGAAAAACCCAAAACCATCGTCTATTCTCAAGGGGGCTCCGACCAAAAAGCTGAGTGGAAAAAATGACAGGACACTTGAATCATCTGAGCACAGTGATAGAAAACAAATGTGGTGCCAGTTTCACCATCCTTAAACACAATCCCATCTCTGTGCTTTTAGGTCAGACCGGCCCTCTGGTCTATTTCTGCTGATGACTTGGCTGCTGCTGCTGTGTCTTTCAACCCGACCGTCCAGAAGCAGAGGGGGGTCCCAACTCTTATAGACCCCATGTTATTGACGCATACAATACGACTTTCATGGACTCTCTTCCCTTTCAGCTTCCTAGCTGGAATCCTCTATTCTGTATCCCGGCGCTGTCCGCCACATCCAGATGTCCGCTTAGAGATGTTGCCATAGAGACCCAGCACGGGTATAAAATTGTGGAATGCTTTTCGATCATATGAAACTTCTTTTTAAGCAAACCCTATCGCTCACGCTCCCTGCATTAGTGATCTAATATTGTAATGTGTAAGAATGGGGCATTGTCCCTAGTCTGTAGAGCGATGAACTAGCAGTATAGAGTTAGTGAGTGGGGCGGGGGTGAGAGGGTCGGGGTGGCAGCATTGGGGTGTATGGGTGCTTCCTTCCAACAACGGCTAACAATGAGGGAGTCTGTGAGCTGCCTGACCTCACTGGCTCTCCTTCAACTTATGCCTTTTATCTCCAGCCTTCGATCGTTCACATACGTACAGCTTTACATCTAGGATGATTAAAATGAGACCATAAATTCTTGTCAAGATATTTCATTCAGATGACCTTGCCTCTGCATAATAATTGATTGATTTCAGAGAGATGAGGCCATTTTAAATCATCAAGGAAGTTGGTGATCCCATGATGGTGTTATGAATTTCTGTTGTAACAAAGCATGAAATCCTTAAGTAAACAAAAATATCACTTGAGAACTACTTTTTTTTGTCATTTCCGCTTCATTTGACAGTGACAATAGAGAGAGACAGGAAAGATAGGGGACAACATTTAGCAAAATGACCGGGCCGGACTCAAACCCAGGCCGCCGTGGAATCAGCCTTGATACGTGGTGCGCATACTACAAGGTGAGATAAAGGGGCGCCATTATTCAGTATTTTGACAAATGAACCTTCATCAGTACAAATGGTGTGAAATTAACCAGCCAGGCACCAGCAACCTCCCACCACCACCCACTCTCACTGTGTCAACCCCACTTGTCCTCCCAGCACTCAAAGAATCAATTATGCTGAAATGAATTTAACCCACAAGTTTCTACTCTGACCCCCTCTGCGCATTTGAGAGTCTCAGGCGGCGCTGAAGCGTGACTCATGACCTGACCTTTGCATGGCCCTCGGATGACCTCCAGCTGGGGGTCACGGCACTTGGCTCGGAGGAACTCGCAGCGAGATGTGAAGGTCCTGCCGTCGGAGGCACACAGGGGCTTGCGAGGAGCTCCGCTGCATTCCGTGTTGCACTCTTTATCCTGATCCACCCGCAGGAACTGCAGAAGCGAGAAAGCAGGAGATAAGCAGAGAAAACATTTGCTAAATGAGCCATTTTTTGGGAATCTTAGAGCTCTGCACAAAACATTATAATCTCCACAAAAGGTGTGACCCTGGAGAGATTTATGAAGCCTTGGGCTTGGAGCTTGCATTTTATAAAAACAGGTTACTACACCAAAAAGTCAGTTGCAGAACAGGTGTACATTGCCAAAGCCAAATAAATTGTTAATTAGGTTTCAAAATTTTTACGATATGTTCATATGCAAGTGCAACATCCCTTCATAAATACACAAAAGTAAACTGATATTGATAAACCATACAACACAGAGACACAAAGATGAGGCAGTGTCAGTACAAGCCTGTCAGGGTGCAGCCATGCTTTGTCCAAAGAGCTGGAGAAGACTTGACTGACGCTTCCTCTTTTCTTTGTCCTTGCCAACACCTGCACAGGTATTCACCTGGAATTGCTCTTGAGGATGTTTTACTCAGCCATGAAAAGAGAAACAAGGACAGAGACTCCTGGCTGAACGCATCGGATCACCTGTGTCAATGCCACCATTGTATCTGCCACCGTGGTATGAAACCCCAGCGCCAGGCCACACAATGGGGCGGCGGCGGTGGTGTGGGGGGGCCGGCAACAAGCTGTGACTGCTACAATGAATGAAAAGACAGTGAATGATAGAGCGGCTGAATAAACTAGATGTCAGGGAGCTTTGTGTTGCTACAGTGCAAGTGCTGGGTTTTCAAGTTTGCGTGATTCATTCAGTTCGATGGAATAATGACCTGGGTTAAGTGGAAAAAAACAACTCTATTCCCATGCCTATGCAGGTGCAGTTTGCAGACGGACTCCATTTGTCTTCTCTCATAATGAACACTCATTTTTCATTCAGTTTTACTCTTTTGTTTTGTGACATTTTGGTTCAGTTTTCAGTGGATGCACGAATATCCAAAATCTGTCTGAATACTCTCTCTGGCACACACACTTACATGGCAATCTGTTGCACAAAGCAGAGAATCAAAGCACTCACTTAAAGGTAAGCTATAAAAATCTGTTATGAGTCATCAAAGAAAGGGCATGGCAACGACGCAGAGAAAGAATAAAAGACACACATCCACGAAAAGGGCGGGATGATTGCCAATAAAAAAAAATTGTTGTGTCTGACATCTTACAAATGAAGTGAGAAATGAGGTTTGGTGGCAGCCCTCTGCATTCAGACGAGCAGAGCTGCATGCACCTGGAAGAGAGTTGGCAGGGAAGGCAGCATCGCCCTGGGCCACGGGGGGAGATACGGCCCACTCTGTCAACCCTGCTCATAAATCTTCCCGAGGTGGGGTGGGGGGTGGGGTCAGAGAGGAGAGGCCCGTTCAAACACATCAGAAGAGGAGCCGCGAGGGAGGGAAGCCGAGTCTTATCAAAAATGAAATTTTTCAAAACACACATTTTTAACTAAAAGTATCCTGATGCTGCAGAGCTGTTTGCTTCACAAGAACAGCCTGTTTCCAAGTCTCACTACTCATCCTTTATCTTTCTAGAAAGAAAGATAAGGAAACATGGAGAGCAATACCTCTCCCTTCGTTGGGATTAACAGAATATGAGTGAATAGTGTATTTACAGTTTTTTTTAAGGGAACTAATGAAGTATTGTCTTTAATTGACAATGTTGTCTACAGCAGTGGACTACATATTTATTTTGGGATGTTTTCAGGGTATTAAATTGAGGTATAATAGAAAAAATGGAAAACAACAATTGTGCAAAATTCTGTTTATTTTTTCTGACTTTTCTGAAGTTTTTGCTTTTCCTTGTGAAATACTGGATCTTGTTTATTATTTTTGCGCATTTTATGCCTTTATTTGATAGCAACAGTTGCAAGATGGGGGATGGAAATGGGGCTGAGAGAGGTGCGAATGACAACAAAGGTCCCTGGCCAGAATTGAACCAATGAAGTTGCGGTTCATGGTCACTGCATTAACTACTAGGTACTTCTTTTACATTCACATTAGGGCCATCATTTGTAATGGCAGGTCACATGTAGACATTACTTCCCTTTAAGGGGCACAGTTGGGAGTTCTCTTTTTACAGCTACTCATTTCTCTGTATAAAATGGGGTCTAACATCTCCCTGCCCCTCCTTGTTAGTGTCTCTGAGTTTCTTCGATTGTTTGCATCATTGCATCTAACTGACAGTCTCCCGTTGGTACCCTCCCTCCTTCACCCACTGTCCTCCCACACCAGTTAGGACATTCCTCCGCAGCTGTGACCTCCCCTAACCCTCCACTCTGTCTCTCACGGCCTACCCTTTCACATCAAGTCCAGCAGGAATGACAGGCTGGTCTGAGGATGTTTTTTGCAAAGACCGCAACCTTCCAAAGTCAATAACTGCTCTGATAGTGTCTGAGTGAGTCCAGCCATGCTTGGTGTTGGACCGCCAGCCTCGCCACAGCCCACACTGGCCCCAGTGCTCACCCTACACCAGCATTATCAGCATCAGCCCCTGCAAGCCAGCAGACTGACAACCCAAACAGAGTTATTCAGCAGCCCAGCATCCTGCTAGTCCACTGCACAGCACACAGCAGAGCGCCGCTGCTTGCCCAAGTTTGCGATAAAAGCTCCAAGAACACAGCATGGAAAAACACAGTTAACCATGAAATCAGCCACCCATGAAATCAACCACCCAGATTCACCATCAGACATCTAAAGTGTTTATTTCAAAGTTGCAGTTGGCCACACTGAGGGAGGAGAACAAATAAGATCTGAAAGCCAGTGAGAGGAAGAGGCATCAGAGACTAATGGCATGCTGAGGACCTCTTCCTCCTGTGTACTCCTAATAGTAGTTAGCTGTCTGCTGCAGATCTCTGTGTGTTTGGCCTGTGGTGATGGATTGGTGAGGCCGCGTCAGAGCCCTGACACTCCCCTGATGTCTCATTCCAGCCTCTCCAAGCCGGCACCATTGCTGTGCACAGCAACAGTGTGGAGAGTGATGGATGGCCTCCGCTTCAGCTTTTAGCATAAGTTTCCACCCCGATTTATCATAAAAGGAGACTCATACAAGACAGAACATATTGTGACTCAAATCCATTTATTGCTTAAATCCTTTTCTTGTCTACTTCCAGACAGCTGGCTCTCACTATCTCTGTTTTTCTTTCTCTTTATTTGGTGCTTTCCTTTCATGATTCTTGTTTTCTTTGTGTGATTTCTCTTGGAAGATGCTTTTTGCATCTGCTCAAATAATGCAAGGGGTTGGCAAAGAAACAAGAGCGAGGCGAGAGACTGCGAGACGGGCAGAGTGTAAGAAATGTTTTTTTCCAAGATGAACCAGCATACAAATCAAATCCTATTACCTCCCCCTGGCTCTGCGGCATTGTGGGATTGAATGGAGTATGGAGGAGGCAAGCGTCCAGCAGAGAGCACATTGTGGGCTGATAAGGGCCTTCAGGGCTGGGAGGCCCCCGCTTCCAGCGCCCCGAGAGGCCCCTCACACCACGGCCCGACAGGGTCAATGGGGGCCCCAGCTGGGAGCTGTGGCAAATGTGTTAAATGTCCTTGGCGGGAGTTTCCTAAGTGGACGCTAGGATGCAAAGGGGATCATTAGTTTCCAGCATGGGAAGAAAGTGACAGCCTTTAACCAGGCTACTAACTCAATCAAAGGAAAAAGGCATTTAATTGCTGTGAAAAATGTTAAAAAGAAAGAGAGCTGATGTGAAAGGCCACTGATGGTCACGTGAGTGTGAAAAAAAAAATCTCTCTAGGCAGGTGCACAATTTTATGAAATTTTATAAAAATTGATTTCTGCAGGTTTGAAAATGAGGCGAACAATGGTCTATGCCTTCTCACTTCTCGCTTCACAAGCCATTTCCTTAAACCGTGGAAAAAGTCTTCCTTATGAATACCCTGGGCAAATATCCCATATATTTAACTGCCTGTTTGACCTCAAATATGCACTAAACATCATATGGAGGCGTATTCTTGAAACCAACAGTACTATTGAACAGTGTGTGACACAGCCACAGATAGCACTGAAACATATAATGAAATAAGATTCTCATTCTGGCAGTCCAGATCCATCAGATCATAGCGGCCGCTGTGTCACATCCATAGACACCACAAACACAGCTGTAACTTTCACATCAACTGATGGGTAAATATTACCACCCACAACACCTCAGTAAAGACTCATATTATCATTACTCATACTCTGTGTGTAAGTCTGTGTATCATGGTGAAAATTCAGGGGGAGCATCTGCTCAGTGCCAAACTTCCTCCCACATTCCACAACACCATAGTGCCGTCAGGGAGAAAGGATCTCCAACCGCTCACCTACAGATTAATGACTCATGGCCATTTGTTTCCAATGGGATATTAAAGCATCTTCACCTGGACCATAGATAACGTTGCTGGGGAAGGTGGCTGTCACATCAACCTTTAAATCAAAGGGTGAAGCCTCTGACAGTGCACATTCCGCTCCCTATTATCCCTCTTTTACCGCCGTACCTGCACTTGATCTCGACCACGAAATTCACCCTCGTGTTAGAAGCACTTTCTCATGCAGTTTTAAAGGTACAACTGCTGACAGGACACACTGCTCTGCTGCTGCTGTAAACAATGCCATGTGCTCTGGTGCAGCAGACCTGCTGACACTGGAAGAGTAGCCTCCGCGCAGCCGCTGGTACAACAAGAGTGAGCAGCACGGAGAGGCAGACAAGCCGAGAAGCTGGCAGGCAGGTAAAGACACTGAAAGCAAACTGCAGTGGTGCTGCTAACAGACCAGTCCACTCCTCACAGGCAAGCTAGCAGCTCTGCCATCTCAGACAGCCCGTGCATTGACCCTGAAACACAGGGACGTGGAGTTCACACAACTTATGGAGAACAGAGGTCTCTTTTTCCAATGCAAACAAATCAACTTGATGATCCATTGAGTTTCAAATTATTATTCTTATTCAGCCTGAATTTCTCTGTGTTTATTCATGATTTTCAATATTAGTATATCTGATTAGTATATCTGATTATTGGATGAAAAGCTCAAAAGAAAGACATATATTGATGAACGTCAATCTTATTAACTTACTGACTTTTCGAAATAACTACATTTATGCCTTAAAAAATTGAATATGGCGGATTGTATTTCTTTCCAAATTTTACGCACGGATTGGACAAGCATATCCTTCTCTTTAAAACTAGCTTTTACCCATGGATATGAATGAGACGCATTCTGGGAGTTATGTGGCTCGTCCTACCGTGAGAGCGGAGAACTTTTGAGCGCGTCCAGCGCACAGCAGACAGAGGACGACCAGCAGCGGACAGACGCGCATCATGACGCGGCGTGGCAATAAACTTTCCAAATTACGCACGGTCCAAAATTCACTCGGTGTTGCCTGTACTTCACCAAAGCGCAAAGACTCTCCGGAAGAATTCGGAAATGTTTAAAAATCCACAGTAGTCCTAGCGAAAAAATGTCGGTGGTGGAGAGGGGGTTGCTGGTTTATTTCACTTCGTCTTCTTGGTTTCGTCTGCCAAACCGTTTGTGTAGACACTCTCCTTATTTCTGGCAGTGCGATACCCCCCCCCCCCCCCCCCCGTGTCCCTGACCTTTTCCCCTCCCTCGGTGTCTCTTCTCCCTTTTTCCCTCTCTCCAATTCGACTTCGTTTCTCCACACCCCCTCCCTACACACTTGATTTTGTCGACTAGATCCCTTATCGGATACAGGCAGTTCCCTAGCCGGTAGGTAGGAAGGTGTAGGTTTTGGTTCAGAGGGACTCCGTCTGCTGCCGGTAACTGAGGCACACACGTCATGTATTGTTTTCTTTCACCTTTTTCTTTTCCTTCTTCTAAACCACAACAAGAAATCTTTTTTCAGAAGACTTGGTGATGATATTCGATTTGCAAAGAGAGGATGGGATCAGATCGGCTACTGTCAGCAAGAAGAAGAAACGCAGTCTGCGCTGAAATTCTCATACTGTGGACAATCGCTAAACACACACACACACACACACACACACACACACACACACACACACACACACACACACACACACACACGGGCTTCAATATACAATTTAGATGTTCTCGGTTCTCTCTCAGCTTATAATAACACTCTCCAAAGAAAGTTTAAAAAAGTCCTTCAAGTTA